GTTCGACCTGACTTGGTGCCCAACAAATTTTCTTGGATTTTATTAATATTTCTAATTTTCTCAAATGATGCCCGATCAAGTGATCCCCAGAATTGTTGTCAGAGGAATGAGGTAAAATCAAAAGGGGGAAAAATAGGGTTGAAAAGTTTTCGAAACGAGGCTTAAATGATTCCTTTCCTTCCAGGCAACACCGCTCGATGGACATGGTCGGCTCCCTATCAGACGCCATGGATGATCTCCAACCGCTCTCCATAGCTACAAAGTACGCAAATCGGCGCCTGACAAGGCAATTTGTCTAATTTTCAGCTACCAACAACCGTCGTCCTATGGAGCGCCCCGGAGTTCTGGTCCTCTATCTAATCCCACAGCCACCGGATCAAGGTTTTGGAATGAGAGAGGTAGGATTTTCCCCGAATTACTCTCGGATTCTGTGCTCTCCTTACATTTTTTTTTTTTTGGAAATTATGCAAATTTCTGTAGATGAAATCTGTTGAAGCTTTTCCGGTCTGTTACGATCCCTTTAAAGGGCTTTTCAGCCCATTGTTCAGTCACTCTAAAAGCATATTTTCAGTCGCTACGACACGGATAACCTGCCAGGAGGGTTGAGCTTACAACAAGAGTTCTCTCAATTGAAAGCTGACTATTCGGCCAACATGGAGAAACTCAACCAAACGATGAACAGCATCAAGCAGTTCTGGAGCCCCGAGTTAAAGCGGGAACGGCAGATGAGGTACAACATTCCCTCAAAGGGAGGAATTTACATGTTTAAGACGAGAAGAAGCCACCCGGATAGCCCAGCTCGAGCGGATGTTGGCAGCTGCCGGCGGGAGTGCGGCTAGCGTTGTTGGGGGAAATGCCGCGCTTCAGATGGAAATCGCTGCTAGGTATTTGATAACTGTGTTCTTGCGCTCTCTCTTTCTCTCTCTCTCACTCCTCTCTCTCTCTCTCTCTCTCTCTCTCTCTCTCTCTCTCTCTCTCTTACTCTATCTCATAATAACAATTTTCTTCTAGAGACGACCGAATCCGGCAGCTAACAAACATGCTGGACGAGCAAGGTCCTTCGACGATGATGGCGGCTAATGAAATTCGATACCGTGAGCTGGAGCAGACTGTCGAACACCTGCAGGGGATGTTGAAGCAGGCACACGCTGGGGTAAGGCGAGAGAAAGAGGGGAGAGAGAGCGGGAGAGAGATAGAGAGAGAGAAAGAGAAAGAGAGAGAATGAGAGAGAGAGAGAGAGAGAGAGAGAGAGAGAATGAGAGAGAGGTAGAAAGAGACACCATGATGTTCCTCATTACTAATTTCCTCTTCAATATGCTAATTTTACGCTTGCAGGACGCTGGGGGTCGATTCGCATTGGAGACAGCTTTGAGGAGGTTGGATGAAAAGGTAGGATCTACTTTTAGTCAAATACTTATAAAACGGATGTTCAGAATGAGCGCCTAGCGCACATGGAAGAAGAACTAAATCGATATCGTAACCTCCGAGCCCAGCAGCCCCGGGATTTCACTGATAAAACTGTAACCAAACACGACATCGTGACGATGAAGTTGAAGATGGAGCGGAGTGAGATCGAGCTCAGCGAGCGCAAGCAGGAGCTGGCTGGATGCCAGGTTTGCTTATTTGCCGTTTTTGAGCAGTAAAAATTATTTAGCCCGTAGTTGTTAAAAAAACTTAGCTTTTCAAACCTCAAAATTCACAAAAATCATATTTTTAATTTTGTAGTTTAGGGTTTTGCGATGCGGTTGCGGGCCAATGCGATTTTTTTGGGGCCAATAGCATATAAATTTGGATCAATAAAATAAATTCGAACACGTTCAGGCCCGAATCCGTGACCTCGAGGACGAGAATATGGACCTGAAATCGCATATGCACGTCTACCGGGATAACACATCGCAGCGGGACCACACGAATACCATTCTTCAAGGAGACGTAAGCGCTGATATAGATACTCTTAATTATTTTGATAACTTTAGGTCGAAGCTCTCCGGAAAAAGCTGGAAGCCAAGAATCAGGCCGTGGAGCAACGGGAGGCCACCATCACCCGGCTCGAGAAGGAGCTTCGCGAAAGCCGGCATGAGGCGTTGGATCGACTCGAAAATGTTAGTCAAAATCTAAACAAATTCGAATTCTATCATTTTTAATTGTTGTTAGTACATTACACTACAAAATACGATCATTATTGTGTAGCCGTTCTGTAATCCAGACATTTCTAGGTCCGCCAGACCGAGTTGCGAATGACCCAGGTTGTCGGAAGATTAGATGGGCTGGAAAATACGCTACGAGAAAAAGATGGTACGTTTTTAAGCCAGTAAATCCAGCTATATATTTTAATGTTAACTAGACACTGACAATGTACCAAAATTTACATTAAGTATTTCTGTATTTTTAGCCGAAATCGATCGGATGAAGCACCGACTCACTTCTCACCCAGATGTCGTCAAGGAGAAGGAATTCAACGACAAGATTGAGAAACGTGAGTCGAGATTTGATCCCTTAATTAAGATTTCATAACCACACAGTTCCATATTTTAGTAACCGAAGAAAAACGACTTCTCGAACGGTTAGTCGACGACATCAGAAGAACTGGAGATAAGGAACGGCAACTTCAGGTACGACACTGTTCTCTCTCTCTCTCACTCTCTCTCTCTCTCCTCTCTACTCCTAGCTTCTCTATCCTCTTCTCTCTCCGCTCTAACCCTAATGCCTCGATTTTCCAGCTCGAAACCTACCAAAAAGAAGTGGAGCAGCTTAAAGGCACAGTCGACAACTTGCAGAAAGAACTAACGGATCGGTAAGTTATCGAAAGACACTAAAACGGAATTCAAAATACCAACAAAATAAGAAAATAATGAAACTATAAATTTAGCGATATTCTACTCGAATCTCAGAACGAAAAGATCGGCGATCTGGGTCGGGAAGTTCAATCTGCCAAAGATCGCCTCCAAGCTGCGATGGTCGATAAAGGAGCGGACGAGTTGAGAAAAGAGGTGAGCCACGTGTTTTAATACCTATTTTTCATTTACCAATATGGCCTAAAATTCATATTAAGTTTAGATGAATGGAAGGGCCGTTTCCGAGGTCCGAAATTGTCTTTATTTTCTTGTAACATTCACATTTTTCGCCTGTTAGCTAGCCATGCCTAGATGGTTTTCATTCGGGCAAAAGCAATTTTATTAGCAGGTTTTTTGGGATTGTCATTAATCGCCTGCGATATTGTATTTCTAGAAAAATAATGCACATCCACAAAAAAGTTACTTAAGGTGGAAGTCGCTCGCTCCGAAGTGGATAAATTGCTCAAAATGGTCCGCGCCCTGGAGAAGGAAAACGCGCAGATTGTCTCGCAGTACAAGCAGCTGCGCGGGACGGTGGATAGAGATGGTGGGTATTGGGATGGCTTGGATTTTACAAACAAAAAAAAACCTCGAACTTTTCATGCAAATTCAAAATTCTCAAAAGTTCCGATTTTTCTTGCCTTTTTGAGTCTAAAATAATAAAATCAGTATAACAATAGTAAACTGAACAATTATTTAGTTTTCTATGCCGTAACTTCGTGAATTTGCAATAATACAACAATTTTTTACAACTAAAAATAGTTAAATTTTGAGACTTTAAAGGGACTGATCTAATATTGGAATGCCTGTTCCTTTAATTCGAAAATTTTTTGGAATTAGCTATGAAAAAATCTAGTGAAAAATCTTACTCTGCTCGTTGTCGTTTTGTGCGCGTGCCTATCATTCCGTTACATTCCTCTGTACATTATATTTTTATGTCGATTACACTAGTTAGAAAACGTATCATAAACCCCTCGATTTAGCCAGAGACCCGCTAACTCCAGACGGTAAGTTTATGGGTGATTTTCCAAAAGAACGGGTATACGGTATCAAAATCCACAAACTTTGTGAATTGCCGTATACCCCGAGACCGCCTCCTCTACTGTACCTTCTGGATTTCCACGATTTTTTTGGAGCAATTTACTGTAGTTTAGAGCCCCGTTTTTCTTCCCGAGGCTTAGTTAGTCGATACTACTATATATTTGCAGAGCCTGAATCTCGTTAGTGGCTCTGGTTTTTTTGGGTGGATGTTGTATTTTTCCGCATTTTAAATTTTTTTATTTAGGCGCTGTGAAAGTTGATGGAAGGACAGGGCTCGTCTCGTCGAATCCGGTGCAGCAGCACAGCCAGTTCCAGAAGAGGTGGCTATACATGTTTTTATATTTTTAAAAAAATTCAAAACCATTAATTAATTTATTCAATTTGGATTATAATTGTTTTTTTTTTTTTTAATATAATTGTTGAATTACACAAATTGGATATAATGAATTATTTTCAGCTTTTATGCAAGTTAAAAAACCGCAAAAGAAACACAAAGTCTATGAAAAAGACGGCTGGAAAATCTCGAGATTAAGAGAGATCACTTTTCCTGGGATTTGATCTAGTAAAATAATAAATATTGTTTTAAGATAACAATAAAAATCTTTAATTAGAATCGAAGAGCTCGAAGAAGCCCTCCGAGAGTCGGTCTCGATCACCGCCGAGCGGGAGGTCCATCTGGCCCAGCAGAAGCACTTGATGCATAACATCTCACAGCAGGTGTGTAGTAATTAACGCATTAATGTATACCTACTATGATTCCGAATTAATTACTGTTATTGCTTATTTTTAGCTCAACGACTCAAAGCGTGAGGTCCAGGAGTTGAGGAGAAAAATCGCAGATACGGGAGGACCAGATAGGGAAGCTACGATGAGAGCTATGGACGCCGAACGAAGACAGCATGTTGAGCAGCTATTGCAGTTGAAGTGAGTGTTTTTGACTCTCTTTCTCTCACCCAATATCCTTCTCTCTCTCACTCCTTCCACAATATGGTGTTATTTAGACAAGAAACTCTAATGGCAGCCATCCAAGAAAAAGATGCCCATTTGGCCCTGCTTGAGAAAGGTCGAGCTCCCGTGAGGAAATCGGAAACGGTCAGAAGACACCGAGAAGCCCTACTCAGCCAGATGAAGCAGGTAGGTCAGGCTCGCAGAAATTTGTAGGAACCCTAACTAGAGAAAACCGGCGTTTCAGGTCTCAAAATAAACACATCGATTTTTCAGGAAAATGAGCGTCGTACCTTAATGATGTGCGCCGATCCATCTACTGTAGCTAGTCTGACAAAGCAGATTGCGACCCAGCCAGGTGAGAGCGAGAGCGAGAGAGAGAAAGAGAGAGAGAAAGAGAGAGAGAGAGAGTGAGAGCGAGAGTGTGAGAGAGTAAGAGAGAGGGAGAGAGAAAGGGGCGAGATAAAGAGACAGTGAGAGAGAGAGAGAGAGAGAGACAGATTTAAGAAATTTTGAAGTACCCGTTCCCCTTAATCCTCCCCCGATTCTAGTCCGCTCTCGCGAATCAGCCAGCTACGAACGCTGCTTTCCAGGGCCGGTGATCGGCGTCGGCGCTCCAATTTTGCCACTATCTTCTTCCTCCCACCCGATCCACGTCCAACAGCATAATGCCCCGATCGGAATGCTAGGCCCACCGAGCAAGCCGCCGAGTCGGGCTGGTGAGTATACTAGACAGGGGTGTTGCTCAAAATAGCATTTTAAGTATTCGTTGAATTTCGGTACAAATCTGGTTATCGCGCGTATGGCAAATCCTGATTCAAATCATAGACTTAAAGAATTGGGAATAAAGTTTTTGAGTGTCTTGTTCGCTATGCTCGTCATCAGCAGAATAGGCACAAATGAATTTCCAAAATTCCTAAAAAATACTGTTAACTGGTGAAAACTGGAAAATTTTGTTGCAATTTTTGAAAAATGTTTCTTTAAGCCGGTTCCGGCTACAAGAGTTTCCTGCTACTGTAAAACACTCTGAAAAATTGGTTTAAAAAGAGGTATAGGCTATCGCTGATATGCCAATTTTACGGGATACACAAAATCCAAGCCTGACTTGAATATTTTTCAGGTGACGCCATGGTCAACTCTGCCGAGCTCGATGAGTCTGAAGGAATTTGGGCTTGAGCTATCAGATTTTTCCGGTTTATCGTTTGTAATTATATTTTTTCGTAGTTCTCCGTATCTTCTCAACATTTCCTCGGCATTTTTATGAAATTTTAGACCGGTTCTATTTTGCGTTGCCCTCATTTTCATCAAAAACTGGATTGTTTTTCTTGTATCAAAAACACTGTCTATTAATGCCTTTTCCACATCAGAACTAATATGTTATGATGGCCCCGTGCACACTGCCGATCTCGTCCTCGCCCCCATTATGCTTTTCACTTTCGGAACCATGGCATTTTGATATCTATTTTTTTGATTCTGATGATCAAACTAAGTGAACACGTCAAAAATTACTCGTTTTCAAGCTCAAGGACATTGCGAGAATAAAGTTTTTTGTACTCTAGAAGAGCTACAACTTATGGAAATTTTAAGAAGACTACTACTTACTTATGCCAGACTTACTAAAGATTACAAGACAAAGAATCTAACGACATTGGCAAAATCAGCGGTTTTGGGTAGTGTAAGCCAAAGCCAAATTCACCTTTTTGGAGCATGTCTATTACGTTTGAAATTTAATGTTATCTTATTGTTGTTTATTTCAGGTCTAAAATTTTTCATTAAGCGCGTCTTAGCGTTAAAAGACATGCAATGACGCGAATTTTAAAATTGCATTCATTTTTGCCTTCTGCGGCGGTTGCAAACTTCTGTAAACCATGAAATATTTTTGCACCCCTTGCAGGAGAAAACGATTTATTTGGTCCAAAGTAGCAAAATTTCAGATGATTTAAAGTTAATTGAAATCAAAATCGGAGAATTTCCGTATTTGGAAGGTATCATCAACACGTAGAATATGATACAAGTTCTGGTCGTATTGTCGTTCGGAATTTTAGGCTATGGCGGTACAGAGAAGCGGTCGATAAGCTCGGGCTACAAATGCGTACATTAAAAAACGAGAGAGAGAGAGAGAGAGAAGAGAGAAACAGAGAGTAAAAGAAAAAGTGGAAGATACAGCGCCCGAGTTATACAAATACGGCGAATTAATTGTTAGCCAGCAGGTACTACAGCACAAGTCTCGTAAAAACATTCGAGAATAGAAAAAACAGCTTTTGAAAAGCGAATTCCACAGCGATACAGAATTGCACATGTCATTTTTAAGGGAAAAGGAAATGAAGTGATAGATATTGGAAACTACAGGAATGAGGAAATGTCCAGAATGGATCGAGAATGAACGGTTAAAGGGGGAGCGCCGGGAAGCTTTATGGAGCCGTTACTGGCACGCTCCCTTCAAAGCTCGCGTGTAAAACTTAACGAAGTCGTTGGGAAAACGGAAGGTTCTCATTTATGAGCGGAGAATCGCCGGTTCTGGGCGATGTTCGACTTGCGCTTGTTCGCCTCCGGGCTCCACTGGCCCCGCTTGGCCTTCTGGCCGATGACCTTCAGGTTTTTGAGGACGGTTTGGTGGGGGACGCCTGGAATATGAAGCTATGAAAAAAGGTATATGTTATAGGTTTAATCAGATTTATTTTCGAGTGCCTAGCTATCATCCCAAATAAATTTCGTAGTTTACGAAATCGCGTTTTTCAAGCTATCCGGTTTCCACAGCGCCGGTGGACTCTGGTTGATAGCACGTGCGCACGACAAGGCAATGCCAAAACAAGAGTCCAAAGGTGCAAAAGATCGAGAGGTACTTTAGGATCAGCATATACCCATCGTAATTTGTTGTTCAAAATAGACGCAATTTAACAATTATCATTTTTTTGTATAATGTAAAAATTTTAAAAGCTGAACGAAGTATGTAAGACTACCTTGAAATCACCTACCCAATTGCTCAGCCATTTTCCTCGACGAGATTCGGCTTTCGCTGTCCACCGCCTTCAACTTCTCTTCAATGGATTCTTGGACCGGACGCGCGGAGAGCATTGAAGAACCGATCTCTTCCATGCTCGTGTCGCCGGAGCGGAAACGGTGGAACCATTCGGCGCATGTCTGAAAAACACTGGTACTTTAAGGTTTTAATTCCAAGTTCAACACCGCAGATTATTTTAATTTCTCCTGCTGTCTTTCAAGGAGTTCGAACGGGTCGCCTTTCAGTTAGGACTACGGCTTTTACTGGCTGCAAATGCCCTGGGCCTGAAGAGTATAGTAACGTAGTAGTATAGTAACGCAAAGTACGCGCGCATTTTCATCGCGTAATGGGTAAAGCCCCCTTCGTTGCCCACGCCTCGCCTAGGGTACGCGTTAAGTGTCACGGCTGTTGGTCAAGCAAAAATGCCGGATTCTGGACTTGCTAAGCCACTTAATAATGAATATCCGTTTTCTACAGGTATATGTATATAGCAAATACTTGTCAGCTCTTCTTTCGATATTTGCAAAAAAATATCCCCTAGGGATTTAGGATTTTTCGAGAAGTTCGCAGAATATTTCTTTTATTTACTCAACCTTACCTCAACATCAGTAGCGCCCTCCCCATAAACATCATTAATCTTCTGGGCCGTCTTCTTCGGGTTGCTTCCGTTGCAGAATTCGAAATAGATGCAGTGCCGGATGTGCTTCGGCGGGAAATCAGGAAATGTCGGGTATGGGTGGGATGCCATTTTTAACGGATGGGTTGTTCGCATAAACTGAAAATCTTTGAAGTTAAAGATTATTATATAGCCATAAAATGGAAAACCAATAGCTTAAAGCTACAAAAATAAAATTCGTAAAGTAATGCGCGCAGCAGGAGAAAAACTGGAACGCCGGAAATGAGCGTGGGGAAACTGCTGGGAATTTGAAATGTGGAGAGGATGTGTGTGAGAGAGAGGAAAGAGCGAGAGAGAAAGTGAGAGAGAGAGAGAAATAGAGAGAGCACGAGGTCCGTCCACATGCTTTCCATGAATTCGGGACCACCGTTGAAACAAGCTAAGCAAATTGCTTGCATTTCGGAGTAGCTTGAAATTTGACAGGGTTTCTTGGGGGCGATGCCGTTAATGTTTAGAAAATTAGGAGAATTCATGAAAATATTCGAAATTTTCCAAAAATATAATTACCGAAAGAGAGATAGATAGATAGAGAGTGAGAGAGAGAGCGCGAGCGAAAGACATAGAGTGATAGAGTGAGCAAGAGAGCAAAAGAGGGTGTGAGTCAGTCAAGAGAGTCAGAGTGAGAAAAGTTTATAGTGTGTTTTACAGCATATCAACGAAATTCAAATCCAGCTATTTTCGAAATTTTGCGCATTATTAAAATGGATCTAAATATAAAATAATATAAAACTATTGATGTGAAGATACATCCTGAAAAATCTAAATTCTATATAAAATTGAATACATCGCATCAGTAAAACGGGCATAGCCACAGATTTAAAAGTCGCGGGAAAATTTCATAAAAATGCCAGAGAACTTGAATCTCGACGGATTTTAGATCAAACCGAGCTCTTTTTTGGCCTCAGTTGGAAAACCGAAATTTCTCAAGCCTTAAGCTCCTTCGAGCTCGGAATGTTCAGCTAAAATTCGATTGTTTTGGCCAATCTGAAGAATTCTAGAACCAAAAAAATCGCCCTGTATGCATGGTTCGACCGGGGCTCGGCTTCGAGGGCAGTATTTCGATTTATGTGGTCCTTAGGATTCCGGCTCCTCCTCGTGGCTGACCAAAGGCAAAGAACCAGGAAAGACGGGGAAAAGAATGGAGGGTGCTTTGGCGCACGTAAACAACCCTCACAGCAGCGCCCCGGCCGAAAAGGGCGCAATTTCACAACGGACCAGCAGACCTGGTTGGCCTGCTTGCCCACCCCTTTCCTAGCTACGCACACAAAAAACATCGACACGACCCAAACGACGAAAACAGCACACCGACCCTCATCGGAATTGATGAGCTTCTAGAGGGCGGAGGGGAAGGTGGTAGAGGATCAGGTGACCTTGGGAAATTTGTGGCAAATTTGTTCGAGGCGGTATTTTGGGTTGGATTCAAGGGGTGGTGACAGAAGTGGATGGAAACACTTCTCTGTAAATTACAGTCACCTAAAGCCGGTGGCGTAACAAATGAAGGTAGCTTGAGAAAACGAACAAACTTGTTAGAAAAGCATGTGACCTTGGGAAATTTGGGGGAAATTTGTTCAGGGGGTTTGGGGTTAGATTCAAGGGGTGGTGACAGGAGGCGTCTTGGGAGACATGATACCGTAGTCTCTACACTTTGAAAACATCGATGCCGTTAGATTTGAAGATTCTGAGGGCACAGGGAAAACGGCGGAGAGCCAGTGCATAAGGTCAGCGGCCTGGGAAATTTTGTGGGAAAGTACTTAAAAGGACATTTCAGTCGGATTTAAGGGAGCAGGGAGACGGGCCTACTTGGGGAACCGAATACCGTAGCCCGGATTCCTTAGAACATCTTTAAGATTAGGATTTAAGCCTTGGAAGGGGAGAGAGAAAGTAGAAGGAGAAGAAAAGCCTGCGCAAATTGGGGTCAGGATTTGTGTGCGCCTATTCATGGTTTTGGGCTAAAGGGACGGTGACAGGATGGGTTTGGATAAAAAACTAAATTGTAGGCCGGCAAACTTGAAAAACGTGCAAAAGATAGAGGAAAGAGCGAGAGAAAGCGAGAGAGAGAGCGAGCGAGAAAGAGAGCGGCATTTAATTAGTTCTAAGCTGTAGTTGCATGTATCTTAACAACCCAAAAATCTAAAAGAAACTGATTTGGAAGCTCTGCAAGAGATTCCCTGTAGTCGACTACGGTATTTGTAGTCGAAAATGGCATGCGAAAATCACATGTCTCAGGCTTCATCTAATTTGTAGAGGGCCCCAATTGCGGGAAGCTAATAATCGGGTGGTTATTCCGAGGGACACTATTGGTCCCTCCAAAAAATGCACGCCTTCGGAAATTGCCGTATAATTAGAGGCACGCCCAGCCCTTTGGGTAGTCGCCAAAAAAAAGACTTGTTGCGAGTCACCGACTATATGTGCTATTTTAGGTAATAGTACGATTAATTTAAAATAGAAACGGAATGATGGAAGAAACGTTAAAAGTAAGAAAGGAGGAAAACTTCC